CACGCGAACACGCGAAATACCGTGCGCGCTCACTGTGTCCTGCACACTACCATAAATACACTTATTAAATACTTGTCAACTTCTTTTTCCTTAAAAACGCTTAGCATTTTTCAGTGGATCAACTGTCATTATTCCTTGGACTTTCAGTAACATTAATAACTCATTAAAAAGCAGCAAGAGAATTTATATTAAAAAATGTAAAAGCATGATTTTTGATAATTTATTTTATTTTATGAAACTTTTTTTGCCTCACGTTTCGACTAGGTTGCAGTGGCCGAGATTACAGACGGCCTCAGAGGTAGGTTAATCAAAAGTATATACTATCTGTTACGTGTATTCATTCATTCATTCATGTTATTCATTTCCCGTGCATGTATATAATTATTTAGTATACGTTTTTAATCAAGAATATAACCGTTGCAGAGTCAATGGTTCAGGCGTGGCCAGTGGCTAAGGCCAGTGGCTCAGGTACCAATGATTTGGCATCATCACATCACATCAACAGCCTTTAATAGTCCACTGCTGGACATAGGCCACTCCTTTGAAAGGAGGTTTTGGCCTACTATACCACACTGGCCAAACGGGTTGGTATAGGGTTTGAGTCAAGTTTTCCTTCTTTTCGCAGTGCTGCTGTCCTGCGTTGTTTTGCGCCCTTAGTCGGCTCTTACGACACCCACGGGATGAATTGGGGTAGTCACATCAACAGCCTTTAATAGTCCACTGCTGGACATAGGCCTCTCCTTAGAAAGGAGGTTTTGGCCTACCATACCACGCTGGCCAGACGGGTTGGTATAGGGATTGTATCAAGTTTTCCTTCTTTTTGCAGTGCTGGTGTCCTGCGTTGTTTTGCGCCCTTAGTCGCCTCTTACGACACCCACGGGATGAATTGGGGTAGTGACAATCCGTATTCTTAATTCGTCACTACACGGATATGATTTGGCATGATCAGTGTGATTACAACGGTGTGACGTTAATCTATGTCTTCGTTACTTTTCAATTAGTGAGTGAAGTTACTAGAGCCTAAACTCCTCCTCCCTCTGATTCTTAACCAAACGGCGATAATGAACTCTGTGACCCTTGAGTTGGTGTCTATGGACGACGGTAGACACTTACCACCAGTGCCTTAATTCTGGTATTAATATTGTATCAATAGACTGTCGATGGAATGTCGTAGTAATAGTTTTGCATTTTTCCTATTCACTATGTAAGTGTTCTTTGTGCCAAACCTCCTTTCTAAGGGGAGGCCTATGTCCAGCAGTGGACTATTAAAGGCTGTTGATGATGATGATGATGTAAGACCAATGGCCTTCCGATGACTTGTCACTGATACAAATATCGAAGTCTTTGTAATATTTAGGTAAACGGTACATTTTAAATTTGTTATAAAATGATCCAGGTATGGCAATATTGTTGATTTCACCATTGATAACCTATATTACTACATCGACAGTCTATTGACACTCTGAATTTAAGTTAGTAGAATACTGATTTTGACCGCTGTCAATGACGTCTCAATAGCGTGTCAATGGAATGACAGTGTCTTGGCGTTAACATAAAATAGCAGAATTGAGGCCCAGGTGACGCGTCGGCTCCCTTGCGCTTTAAAGTCTTTTATCAAAACTTATTAATACGTTTCACAGGCAAGCTTTGGACTATACAAAGATTAGTGTAGGCCAAACCTTACCAAGAAAATTATTGCCTTAACAATCAAATTGCAGCAATGTGTTGAACCATGTTTATAACAAAAGAGCAAACATCTTGTACGTACATGTATGTATATACTGTGCATGTGGTCTATTACTACTCATACATCACTGCTCATCTCCTAAGATTCCCATAGCGTGATAACAGCTATTATCAACATGAAATTTTCCAGACTATTAACGTCATCGACTACCGGTATAAAAGCAGAACAGAGGGGCACTAGTTATGCACAACTGCTCTACTGTTGAGTTGTTTTGGACTACACGAATGGCGTAGTGGTTTAAGCGGTGTTGTGGGTTCGATACCCACAATGGACGAGACTTTGTGTGATCCACTGATTGTTGTTCTGAGGCTGAGTGTTCTTTGTGTCCGTTTAATTTATGTTTGTAAAGTCCCCTGCTATGCAAGATATGCTCCTAATGCGGGAGTTGTCTTATAAAAACAAAAAAATATAAATATTTCTTTGTTGATTCTTTTTTCCTTTTTTTGTTAATTTAGTTTCCGAAAATATACTTTTTTTTTTTACACGTCGATTTCATCTTTAAAGCTAGATGACAGCATTTAATTGAGCGTAACCGGCCTTCCGTGTGATGACGGATTATGAATACGGAATGTCACCATCCTTATTCATCCCGTGGGTGTCGTAAGAGCCGACTAAGGGAGCAAACTACGCAGAACAACAGCACTGCAAAGAGAAGCAAAACTTGAAACAAATACCAACCCGTCTGGTCAACGTGTAGTAGGCCAAAACCTCCTTTCTAAGGAGAGACCTATGTCCAGCAGTGGAATATTATAGGCTGTTGATGTGATGATGTGATGTGAACCGGCCTTAAGAAGAAACTACTTCTACATGATTACTCGTACTTTTACATGAACCCACTGTAGAAGTATCTGTAGGTGCCTAGGGTGCTACTTCTAAGAAAGAACTATATCAGCTATGAGTTGACCAGTCACGATACCCCATAGATCAGATAAGTCGTCGGTAAACTCAACCACATCTCAAAGAGCTCTACGACTCAAATCAGTCCGCTATTCTAGTCAGCGCTGACTGACGAACTGTTTCCTCAAAGCAGAGCCTAAACCGGTGGAGCTATAAACTTGAAATTGTACGAGTATGTTGTAAGCATTCAGTGAGAAAGGATTCTTGGAAATGGGGTATAATAAGGGATGAACGGATGTTTAGAAGACATTTTTAAAGTTAGAAACACATACTAAGAAATAATCACACGGGCGAAGTCACAGGCCAGAGCTGGTTACTTATATATCAATAAACCAACTACAGTGGTCTATTTATATAAAAAACCAACATTATATTACGGGCTTGACTGCTAAGCCGGAGGTAGTGGGTTCGATTCCCACCCAGGACAAATATTGTGTCATGAGCACAGTCATTTGTTCTCAGTCTGAATGTAATTTTTTTTAAGTAAATGTATTTAAAAATATATAGGTATTTTTGTCAGCGGTCTAGTTACTACAGCATTGGGCCAATAGGCGGGGGAAGCAGGCAGCTTCTCCAGGATAGGGCTTTACTAGACGCGGCGTCGATCCGGAGGCGACCTGAAATAACATGGTCCGGGTCCTCCACGGAGTAGGGCGCCCGATTCCAGCCCTCGCAGAGGTTTTTAGTGGAAACACCACATACTCCTGGCTCCTACATCATCCGAAGGGATTTTCCACCACGTGAACATAAAATAAATAAAAAAAGTTACCATAGCATAGGCTCTGCCTAGTTTGGGATCGGACGGCCGTGTGTAAGATGTATGAAGAATATTATTATTACATTATAAACTAAAGATAACAAAATTTAGTTAATGGTATACGTTTAACATGTACTTATCGTTAATTATCTTTTAAACACAGAAATTAGTTAGTTTACATACAAGTATGTACCTTTTTTTTTTGCCGTGCGGAAATTCCCTCGCGGATACCACTTATCGGTGGCATGTCGGACTCGAACCGACTAAAACCGCACGCCCTCTCGGGTACTAATAGCCGGGGAACCAGGTATTAGAAAGGAAGGCATTTACAACAACAGGTAGACGACCCCCCCCGTGTGGGAACCCCATCTTCCCTCTGCTCCCTGGAAGCGAGCGCGCTTCGCAACGCGGTCGTTCTGCGACCTCCGGCGCCTGAGTCGCCTGCGGTACCTGGCCCGTTCCCGCTCCGCCGTCTCCTTCGTGAGCATAACTTGCTCGCAGAAGGAGACGGTCTCCCCCCCTTTTTTTTTTGTTTTCCGTGCGGAAATCCCCACGGATACCACCTGTCGGTGGCATCAAATTATTTTTCCATTCGGATTATTAATAACTTACATTTCGAAATCCCAAATAATAATGTAAGCTGTATTACGCAGCGTTATCTGCGTTATCAAACTAAGCGTAGAAACGCACGGAATATTTTCATTTTGTAATTTAGAAGAAGAAGAATATTTTCTTAATAGAAGAACTAAGAGACAATTTGAGACTAACATGGAGTGGAATAAATATACTAAAGAAAATAGTTATTTGAATACGTTGTGAATATAACGCGTAGAATAATATACAGGCTCTGTCTAGTTCGGAATCAGACAGCCGTGTGTGACATGTGTGAAGTTATCATTATTAATTCAATTTTGAAGTCGGTGAAAAATACAGATAACTTGGTTTATATAAATTTTATGGCGTTATGAACAAATTCTACGAAGCCATGCACCGCTATGACTAGCGGTCCCAATAAATATTGTCACAATCACCACGCTTGGCTGCATGATCTATAATCAGAATATTTCCAACTCAGTCATAAATTGTCTGTCCATTGGATACCTTGGGTACCTTGTGAATGATCCTGCAACAACAACTCAAAAATCAAACTTTCCACACACAGTAATTACTTTAATATAATTTTTGAATGCCAAGTCAATCACAAACCAATTCAAGAAACATGAAATGAAAATATCAACCCATCTGACAGACAAGAAGGCACATGACAGCTGCCAACAAACATATAACGATACGAAATTACGCTGCAATCAATTGGAGAAACTGTCACTACTCTATTAACGGAAGAAGCGACGCGAACACAAGCAAGTTTTTCATTTCGGCAACTTTTAGTTATATCGGAATTGAAACCGAAGGAAGCCCGTAAACCCGCCCGACCGTGAACACACTGGGAAAACGCAACTTTATACAACACATGTATAAATATAACGAATACTAGAGACAGTTATTCAGTTTTGCGCGAACGCTTGATGCAAAATGATGGTACTGGTGATGATATAATTGAAGAAAGTGAAGTGCTTAGTGACAATTATAACTAACAAGATGTATTTTCAGACTCTGTTTGTGATTTGTTGTGTTGTACTCTCGAAGGCCGAGGATTACCAGGACTCGTTAAAGAAACTATGGAATAAGAATAGTGAATCTGTGATTGATGTTACTAGTGCTTCTATTGTCATTCAGCCTTCAAGGTATGGAAGGGAAACCAAAGTTCCTTACACGTACCGAGCTTACGCCTTCAAGCCTCGCGCTATTCCCCTGAAAGAAGAACCTCAAATGGAAAGAAGTAATTACTATACAAATGAAATAAAGAATAAAACTGATATACTTTTCCCTGGTAATTATTTGCCAATTGCCAAAGAGAAAAGTGATGATTCTGGTGGTCGGTTTCTCGCTAAAGCGATACCTTTGATCAGGAGTAATGAATACCAGAGGAGATCTTTGGATGTTGACGAACCCATAATTGAGAAGCCTGAGGGTTTTTCTGAGGTTCCTGCTTCGAGGAGATCATTATCATGTAAGTATATTCTATTACATGATTTTCTTTTTTCTTTTTCTTTTTTTAAAAAGACAACGCCCGCATTAGGAATAAATCCTGTGTCGCGGGGGACTTTACAAACATACATGAAACGGACACAAATAACACCCAGACTCAGAACAACAATTTGTGAATCACACAAAGTGACGTCCCATGTGGGGTTTGAACCCACAACACTCGGCGTAGTAGTAAGCGGCTTGGCGACCGCTTAAACCACTACGCCATCCGTGCACTCTTTAATTGGCAGCTCTTTAATATTTTACCATGATCGATGTCCTAAACCTCTTTGAAATAAATCTTATAAGATAGATTAGAATCGTAAAGATAATATAACATATGACTTATCACTATAAAATTTCAGGTTGTTTACTTGCTATATGTTTCGATGTTGCTAATGAGCATATTATTAATAATAGCGGAATACAATTTATGTTGCACTTCGTGACAGAGTATTCCTTTTAGTGATAAGCCGTGACGTATTAGCGCACATGTTTTTTTTAATGTGTTGTTTTTGTAGATTCTCAATAAAATTATTGATTGAAAGTTGAAAAGGGATTTTGTATGTTAAAGTTTGTTATGTTATTCAGTTTCCATTTTTAAAGGGTTTTTGTATCTTGTTTTCGTTGACGAGGATGATCGATATAGGTGTTCTGGTTCTGTTTCCTATTTTAAACTATACAATGAAGTTCATTAATAAGTCAAGACTCTCATAGTAACTTAACCCCTCGAATAAGGTCCAAAATACTAGTTATATTAAGAACACCTCCTCTAGGTTAAATAGTTAGAGCACAAAGAATATTTATGTATAAAGAGAGAGACATCAGAGACTCTCTGATGCTCTACCATCTTATAGGAATTAAATCCAATACACGAAAATATTGTGAAAATGTAACAACTTTTTCAAAACATTCATACGATAATACATTAAACAGTAGTAGTAAAAAGCATTTACTTTTACCATGGTAATACAGCATCAAGTTTACAACAAAGCCTAATTTAAAAAAAATAGTTAAAAAAGCTATATCAATAGTTTATTGCCATCTTCTTTATCTTCTAAAAACGACGTTTAAGTCAATTTTCAGACGAAGGCATTTAAACAGCGTTTAACTAACCCACTAGTTTTAAATTAGAATATACAATAAAAGAAATGAGACTTAATTAATAGAGATAAAATAATCAGTTTTAATTTTCTGTTTTACGCTTATTTTCAATCAATTCACATCTCGAATTGAACTGCAACTTTAGATAATATACGTGCATTCTACGCGATGTCATTGCCCATAAACTAAATGGAATCTAAGACTAAAATGCTATCAAACTATGATCAACCTATGATTTATAATTAAAACTGCTTACATCACTAATTAATGGTCTACTCACGCAATACATTGAGGTGACAAGTAGGTGAGATTGCGTGATCCGAATATTGATTGAAATACGAAAAATTCAACAATGTACTTCCTGATTTATTATCCATTATTTGCAAGAATTTGAACTAGTAGGTGTCTTCATAATTTTTAACAATAATATGATAAACAGGTAATTTAAAATGCCAATAAAGTTTAATTTGTAAAGTTTATTTTGTAGATTCTTATACTTACTTATTTGTTGAGAATAAAATCCACGAGTCACTCAGATTCTTTCATAAACAACAATCTGTGTAAAAAAACTTGACCATTCTTCTTACAGATAAAACGAAGTACTTCTTACATGACACGTAACAACTTCGTGAAGGGTATAACCCTATCCAAAATATCACCAGTATTGCTCAAATGTCACCAATTAGAAATGCATTGATCATATTAATCCAAGGTTTAGTTTTGATAAGAGTAACTGTTATCTACCATACACATAATATTCTTTTCTTAATAATATATCTATGTTTATAAAAATGTTGGTTTGTGTACGCTTCTCTACTCTTTTAAAAAGAAAATGACCTCTACTTTTTATTTTCCTGATAAAAAAAAACAAAGGCCTATAACCATCGAAATTTTATTTTTATTTGCTTTCGTCACATTTTTTTCTGCGCCAACGGGTTGTTCAAAATATTCTCATTATTAATATTATTAAGCTTTTTTAATTCTAGTGCCTTCTAAGACTGACACTATCATAGGACAATAGCGTAGAGTTCTATTTATAAATAATTTACGAGTCATAATTGATGTATCAGCTTTCTAAAATTATATACGATAGTATGAACGACCCATGCAAATTTACGAATGTTACGTATGTCGAATGTTACGTGTGGTGACGGATTAAGAATACGGAATGTCATCACCCCTATTCATCCCGTGGGTGTCATAAGAGCCGACTAGGGGAACAAACTGCACAGGACAACAGCACTGCAAAAAGAAGGAAAACTTGAAACAAACCCTATGGCCAGCGTGGTATAGTAGGCCAAAACCTCCTTTCTAATGGGAGGCCTATGTCCAGCAGTGGACTATTATGGGCTGTTGATGATGATGAAGATTTAAAAAAAAACTCCTTAAATTACCTTCAGGATTACAGCACTTTTACAGGATTAGAGTCTTATCAGCACTAAGTTGCCACAATTCTAGGCACGAGGCTCCAGGGGCTTAGCATTATGGTGTAGTCTCCAAATCAGTTTATGTGTCGGTAGTTAGATTTTACAAATAATCGTAAATATTGCGGTTTAAAAAAAAAAAGTAAAACGTTTCTTATAAAACGAGATATCATTAAACAGTAATAAAAAATAATGTATTATACGAGTATGTGAATATTTATAAGTTATACAAAGACCGATAACCAGACTTATAACCATAACCCGAACCAATTCCTCTTGAAAAACTTAAAATGATTTTAAAGTTTTAACATACAATGGAAATACAATAAAAGAAGGGAAACTTAATACAAACTACCTATGACTTCACTTGATACTTTGGAATCAGATGGCCTTGTGAAACACATCTCACACGGCCATCTGATTCTAAACTAGGTACCTATACTATGGTAACCAGACCGCTGAAACACGTATATATTTCATATATAATATATTATATGTATGTACACCAATACCCAAAACAAATGATTGTGCTCATCACATAATATTGGTCCTGGGCAGGAATCAATTCCAGAACACCTGGTATTGTCAGGATCGCTGTTCACTAACCGCTATACGAACTTCTTTCACCAGCAAAGCTATCTGTTAAGTTGCATGAACAGCTTATTTCAAAATAAATTACAAGAAAAATAAAAGATCATAATTGTTGCAACGTCATTTTCCTTTGTTCTGAAGAATAATGAAAAAACGCACCGAGGGAAAACGAAAGTTTCCTACAAAATAATTACTTAAATACGCCAAATTATGGCATGGCTCTCGGCTCATGTACATTTTTGAACGTGCATTAAATTTTTCTTCACGCTCTATTTATATCATTGAATGTTTCATTAAAATACTGACATAAATATGGACCTTAGTCTGAAATAAAAAGTGTTTTATTTTTTATTAATTTTTATGTCATGGTGGTAACGAAAAGGCCAAGGTCTATGGATGCTTGCAATCTCAGTATCGATTCTATTCGACTCGATTGAGCTTTGCCAATCCTTTTTTTTTTTTTTTCTTTTTTTTTTCCGTGCGGAAATCCCCTCGGATACCACCTGTCGGTGGCATGTCGGACTCGAACCGACTAAAACCGCACGCCGTCGCCGGGTACTAATAGCCGGGGAACCAGGTATACCCTAGAAAGGAAGTCCCTGGTGCCCCGACATAAGCTTTGCCAATCCTAGAAGCTACACGTTAGTACTGTCCGCCTGTTTTGTCGAGAAACCAGAATTAGATAAAAATGTTGAATCGTAAAATCACTAATGACGGTTAAAACTTATGTAAAATATCTTTATTTCAGGTTTTTAGGAGATTTTAATTGCTTCAAATCGTCTTTTAAATAGACTCTAAAGTCATAGATCAATACATGCCATAGCAACAATCCCTGTTTCGTAAAATATTATATTCGAATATCTATTATACACTTGTTTCCAAGGGGTTGAGACTTATGAGAAGAAAAGGCAAAAAACGGCCACGTCCTATTTTTATGCATTAATTTACTCAAAATACGATTATTCCCACATTTTTAAAACATTGAACTAACCTTTACAGGATTAAACTAAATCTCATCAACAGCCTTTAACAGTCCACTGCTGGACATAGACCTCTCCTTAGAAAGGAAACTAAATCTAGGATATTGTAATCTAGGGAATTTTGTAATAAAATAATCGATATTAATCGGTCTTAAAATATAATTAACTAAAATCAAAAATAAGTAATTAATTAAATCAAACTATACACATTGAGTTAACCGACACCGAGTTAACAATTCTTTACAAGTATCAATGCAAGTTTGTGGTCATGCTACACAAAGCTAGGAAAAAGGTATCAGTATTGGTACATCATGATTAAGATGAGAAACTCAATATCACTGACCGTTCTATAATAACATTGAATACTGTGCATTATAACTTTATAATTAATTATTTATTAGTCCGTGTGGTGACAGATTAAGAATACAGAGCGTCACCACCACTATTCATCCCCAGCCTGCCGTAAGAGCCGACTAAGGGAGTAAACTACACAGGATACCGCACTGCAAAGAAAAGGAAAACTTGAAACAGACCCTATACTAATCCGTCTGGCCAGCGTGGTATAGTAGGCCAAAACCTCCTGTCTATGGAGAGGCATAAGTCCAGCAGTGGACTACTAAAGGCTGTCGATGATGATCGATGAATTAATTATTATCACTTTGTAAAATGTTATTTATTTTGACAAAAATTAGCCGGTGTTCCTATTTCAGCAATATCCCGTTAGATTTTGTCACTTCATACAATTAGATCTCTACCAGTAGTGGGAGTGTTAAAAGACACAACACAGACACTATAATAACGAACAGAACCCCCCAATAAAGAGGGCAGGTGGAATATCGAATATCTATCATTACGCCCCGTTATTCACTGTTGACTGCCTATAGCGAACTCTCGCTGGACTGGTTTTCATCACTATCGCAACGGGCAATCATTTCCGCTGGTGCATAAGTAGAAACAAAATCTGTTATAACAGTATTGGCTGATGACAATGCTTCGGCAATTTTGTGTTTGATGTTACTATTTTCATTTTGGGAAATTGATGTCATTCTTACTAATGAAAGTAAAAGCAAATGTGTTCGTTTTTTAAATCTGTCATGGAAGTGAATTGTATAAAACATTTTCAACTGAACAAATACTTTCATCAAGTGCATTAATACCTAACTATTCTTAAAATAATTAGGACAAGTTCATTATTATCTCATTAATAGTATTTTACCATGTCATAAACGGTATTTCATAATCTCTAAATTTAAAGTTTTCTTCTATAATCCTTAATTTGTCGATATTTTTCCTATTAAGACTAATGTCAGTATCCCTTTTCTAAATTAAGTTATTATAATCCAGAATTTTTGCTCTTTTGATGATTATAAAAAAACAGTTTTCTGGCAATTATAAGATTGTAGATTAATCTTCGTAATAAAGCAGTCCTAGGTACTATAAAACATGAAATCATTATATTTTTTTGCTATCGTTACAGAAACCAAAGAAGTTAATAAATAAAAAAAATAAAAATAGTTAATTTATTTAGGAACCGTTCCACTATCGATGTATAATGCGATCTAATAATGATTAATTATTACCAGTATGAAAAAGATATGTGGTGGATTAAGAATACAGTGTCACCACTTCTATTCATCCCTTGGGTGTCGTAAGAGCCGACTAAGGGAACAAACTCTGCAGGGCAACAGAACTCCAAAAAGAAGAAAAACTTGAAACAAACCCTATACCAACCCGTCTGGCCAGCGTGGTACAGTAGGCCAAAACCTCCATTATAAGGAAAGGCCTCTGTCCAGATGAACAGGGGTGGCGACACTCCGTAATCTTAATCCGTCACCACACGGACAAGTTCACTTATTTCATTAAAATCATTAATTTACCTTCTTATGATTCGAGTGTCATTTTTTAAATCTAGAACACAGAATAAGCTCATTTAAATATGATTTGTCTAAGTCTATAATTTCGTATTTGAAATAAGTTACTATAATGTTTATTCAAAGAGATTAATAGGGTAAAACACGATATATAGTACGTAATAGCACGTCGCATAATTCATCTATAAACGTCACAAAAAAGAAAAAAAATCCAACAAAACACTTAACGCAACTTTCATGACAAAAATGTACGATTGTAATCTTTTTAAAGATATTAATTTTAACAAATCTAAATAATGCTGCAGACATAGCAATAGACACGCAATAAATCAGCTTAATCAGTCTTTGTTTGTTAGGCGTGATGGTCACGCTTTTGTGCCAGACAGCTTATCAATCATGAGTAGTGTAATGATTGTAACAGCGTAATTGGCAGAAATACAAATGGATTTTTTATTCATGTCATTTTAAAATGATTTCAATTTTATTTGAAAATAAGAATTGACAACACAATTACAAAATAAATTGATTCAATTCAGTGTTTTAAAATAATTTGTAGTATAAAATAATATCAATGTTCAAAGAATGATACAAGGACATGTATTCTTTCTTTTTCAGATATCCTGGGAGTAGACGGCGACGACGATGATTACACTGAATACGAAGAAGAAGATGTAAAAGATGAAGAAAGAAAAAAGAATGGATTAAAGAAAGTGAAACAGAAAAAACTAAAAAAATATATGCTCCCACTTTTATTGGCTTATAAAATGAAATATTTTGCCCTAGTTCCTGTAATGATTGCTGGCCTTGTACTGTTGATTGGTGCAACTGGTTTGGCAGGATTTTTCTTTGCATTATTTGCAGCAGTTATGGGATTACAGAAAGGAAGTTATTAGATAAATCAAAGTTAATTTCAAATGAGACCATACACATTTACGAAGACACTGATCTTTTGGAATCAATTTCTAAAGAACACCAGTGAAATCGGTGGTCAACAATTTTGAAGTTAATTTTAGAGAAGAAAATAAAGTCGACGTCTCATAGTTGCCATTCAATCTTAGTAAGCATCATCAGAATATAGAGCCCTTCTGGTCTGATGATGAATAACAAAAGGAATCCACCGACGCTGATTGGCAGTACCCATCTTATTCTCCATTGGTGATCTTTTTTCCTTTAAACGATCATAGTTTTTTTTTTAGTGTAGCTCGCGCATTGTAAATATAAATAAGAATAGTTTAAGTTATTTATTTATTTAATGTTGGTAGGGATAGTTAATGTAGTTACCAATTGTATAACTTAGATTTATTATTTCACTGACTATAATAATATTATAATTAAAGACACAGTGCTTTTATTTTTTTATGTATTTTTATTTAGCAGCCTGAAGTAGAAATGTATAAGTATTAAGTAATCTGTCAGTTCGTGTGGTGACAGATTAAGAATACAGAGTGTCGCCACCCCTATTCATCCCATGGGTGTGGTAAGAGCCGACTAAGGGAGAAAAGTAAGCAGAACAACAGCACTGCAGAGAGAAGGAAAACTTGAGACAAATCCTATACCAACCCGTCTGTCGTATAGTAGGGCAAAACCTCCTTTCTTAGGAGAGGCTTATGTCCAGCAGTGGACTATTAAAGGCTATTGATAATGATGATGATTAAGTAACCTTAATCGTATATTTTTTTCTTTTTAGTTTAGGTAGAAGGAGTAACAGAAAAGGAATGTGATTTCACTCGTGTCAGATCGTATCCGGTCATCTTCGTCCTAGCTGTTGTTTTGGTTTCTTCAAACTCATATTGCAGTTTAGAATACCCAATGGGTTTTTTTTAATTTTCATGCAATCAAGGCTACCTTGAACGAATATCTGAGTACACTATTTTTTTTTTTAAATACAACTCTCGCGTTAGGAATATATCCAGTGTCGCGGGGGACTTTACAAACATACATGAAACGGACACAAAGAACACCCAGACTCAGAACAACAATTTGTGGATCACACAAAGTGTCGTCCAATATGGGGTTTGAACACAACACTCGGTGCAGTAGGAAGTGGCGTGGCGACCGCTTAAACCACTACGCCATCCGTGCAGTCAATACAATGCCACCTTAATACTCTATTTGTAACACGCTTTTATTAGCTTTGTATGTATAACGTATAACGGAATCTTTGAACGTGATTTTCACCCACTCTGAAACGTCTAATTGAATCTTCGCATACTTATCAAAAACCAATGACAATGCAATAATTTAGTACATTTTGCCAATTTTCCTAATCAGAGTTTTAGGGATTTTTCTTCATATATAAAAATACGGTAGTGTCTTGTGTTACGTATATGTTACGTGACTTACCTACTTGTTAATTTTTAACCTTTAATGAAGGAAATAATCTGCATTATTGACTAGCAAAGCAAACATAAATTATAGTTTAAAAAGCAAAAAAGAACACGCTTTTGTAACTATCCGAACTAAAAAGTAGAAAATAATTGTCTATAAGTTCAAAAATAAAAATCAGTTTATCGTAAAAAGCGTTGGTACTTTCAAAACATTAATAATAATATCATAACTTTATTTTTAAAAATCTGCCAATAAAATTTTACACCAATGGACATCTGACACCCCACCCATTTTATTATTTTTTGAATTTAATGAAAATTACTTTCTACTTTTTAGCTCGGCTAGTTACAGAAGCGTACTTTTTTAGTTATTTAAACTTTAATTTATTATTACTAAACTACTCTTTAGTTTTTTCATTTAATCTGCATCTCGCGCAAGTGGCTTATACGATACAAGAACCTGGATTGTTCCTACTAAAATGTTGTTTTAAATATTTAAAACTGATTCTCGAAAATACATGGGAAATACCCCGTTTCCAGTAACTTCATCATCATCATCATCAGCCTATAGCAGTCCACTGCTGGACATAGGCCTCTCCCATTGCACGCCACATACGCCAGCCATCTTGCGCAAATCGTCACTCCACCTGGCCTGTGGGCGTCCTACACTACGTTTACCGATAATAATAACTTATCAAGTGAACATTTAAATGTGTGAATCAATAAATACATCTCAGTAATATTGACTTAAGACTCGACAAAATGTTCATAAAATGAAAACTACTGGGCCTAACTATGTAAAATTTTTATGGGACCAAATGGCAACTATTCTGCATCAAACTAAAGAAGAATCACGTAAATCGGATCATAAATCTCAGAGTAATCGGTGTACATACATAAAAAAAATATACCAATCGAATTGAGAACCTCCTCCTTTTAGAAGTCGGTTAAAAAGAAGGAAAACTTCTCGTCTGGCCAGCGTGGTATAGTAGGTAACTACCTCCTTTCTATGTCTATGTCCAGCAGTGGACTGGTAAAGGCTGTTAATGAATATTGACATTTGTTTATATACTTTTTTCTGATCTGACTATGAATTATACATATGCTTCTTCTTTTACGAAAACTTTATCGACAAGAAAAAAAGAACTTAGTTTCTTAGAAGTAAAGAAGACTTTTTATTACCTTTATTTAAATTAAATATTTATAAAGAAAACAATTTCCTAGATAAAAATAAAGGAGATAGAACGACCAACCGCAAACCATATTATGAATGTAACAGTCTATTTATTTTATATCCCATTATTTTCTCAGGCTAGCTTAAGTGGTAAAATGAAAGTAACATAACGGGTTTAATAATCAATATAAAAAGTTAAGAGGAAAAGCTGATTTATAAAACAAAATATTGGAAGTAAAATTCACCAAACCTCTGTTCTCCGTCCTTACTATAACGAATCTCATCGTAACATATTTATACCTTCTGGCGTTGCAAGACTACGACCAACCTTCTTGCAAATAGCATTGGAAACCAAACGACCAGATCATTAGAGTGTATTCTACTGCATCCACAATAATGATCTCTGGCCTGCCCAGCGCCTGACTGCAGAAGCAGAGCACTACCACATACGTATGATGATGTGTAACCATATAAGTTGTCATAACACGGCTAGCCACTGTGACAGGTGGTAACATTTCCCGTTCAACCGTAATCTTACACATGAGGTGTGGAAGACACCTCAGCTTTCAGGTTTACTAACGATGGATGAGGTTCTAGTAGGTTTTTTCTCAAAAACATGGTCTTCTGTCTCATTCTGTATAGGTAAGTAAGTCATACTTAAAAACCCGTCTACTGCGTTAATGCAAGATAGTGCAAGGCCCGCTTCGATTATTAGAGTAGAGATAATCTTCGGAAGTGATTAACTTATAGGCTTCTGCTGTATGGAATCCTACACGGCTGCCTGGATTTATAAGTTTTTGTTACTAATGAACAAAATTTATGTATTAACACTTCCTGCAGACGCAGATTGCATGAGGCAGACGCAGTGCCCAAAGTACTGTCTGCCAATCTACCAAAATCAATTTGGGCGATCCGTACTTGACAAGTTTATAATCGAATTATAAACTTGTGGAATGTTTATTATTTAGGTGACAAGCCAAGCAGTTACAGCTTTGAATGTCTTGTTGGAGTATATTTCAAAGCCTGGCTCGGATAATAAGGAAAGAAAATAACTAAAAAAACTTAAGCTATGAGAAGGACAGAGAGAGAAAATTATCATAAGATTACAGATATTGGATATTGAATCAGGGGCATTAGGACTGGACGGATGACGTAATGGATTAAGCGGTCAGCTCGCCGCTTTCTACTGCACTAAGTGTTGTGGGTTCGATCCAGACACAGGACAACACTTTGTGTGATCTACAAATTGTTCTCCTGAGTCTGGGTATTCTTCGTGTCCGTTTCGTGTATGTTTGTGAAGTGCCCCGCAACGCAGGGTTTTATTCCTACTGCGGGAGATGTCTTTAAAAAGAAGATAGAAAAATTAAAGCTTTCACAACTGCGAAACGTGAATATATTATCGCACTTATGCAGATGAAACAAATGTTAGTTTTAACTATATGCGTCACAAAATGTTATCTTAAATGTATAAAAATCATGTCTATTTCATGCACCGTATAGGATTCTGAACTTTTCATCAGCCTGTTTTAAACTAGTGACAATCCATCTAAGTAATCTTGACCTGAAAAAATACATACGATATTGTCCATGTAGGCACAATTTTTAAGTTGAGCGAATATTATTCTTAAACTTACAGAGCTAACATAACCGTGAATCTTTTCCTTCCGTTATACATCACCAACGTTTGCTCGCGGCTCTGCTCGCGTTTATGTCTTCTTTCTCAAGAATCAAACTATCTTTGTCGAGCATAACACAGGGTAAGTTACATAAAGCATTCGTTGGACTTAATACTTTAATGATAATAAACTTAACACAATAAATAAAGGGTCTACCAATAGGGATGACCTGGTTTTGACAGCTCATAGCGGCCATGTTTGATGATGGATCTTTGATGTCTCTTGACATTTGTGTTCAGTAAGGTTTGCCATTTTATCATGTCAAGTTTCACTTTAAACCAACGCTTGAAAATTGTCCAAAATTTCTTTGAAAGTGACGAAGGAAACCCTGTTACTGTAAATGGCGAGCGCTATAACTCGATGTTAACCGAATATTTCTTACCGGAATTTGATGATATTGATGCAGACGACCTTTATTTTCAACAAGTCGGTGCACCACCTCACATTACTCGAGTGAACATGGAATTATTGCGTGGAAAGTTTGGTGAGTCGTTAATTTCGAGAAATGGACCGATCAGTTGGCCACCGAGATCGTGTGATTTAACACCTTTAGACTGTTTTCTTTGGGGTTACGTTAAATCTAAAGTGTACAGCAATAATCCAGCTACAATTCGCGACCTAAAAACCAACATTCGACGAGCCATAGCCGACATACCGGCCGAAATGGTGCACCGCGTCATCGAAAATTGGCGTGAGCGGGTGACCGTCTGCAAAAAGAGCCGCGGGGGTCATTTTGGCCGATAAATAATTTAAAACATAAATGGCATAAAATTATCTATCAAATAAATCAATCGGATGCATTTTTCATAAAAAATTGTATGTTTTATTCAATTTTTAAACCAGGACGTTCTTATTGGTAGACCGCATACTTTCAAAATTTAATATATTTTAAAAAGTATCTTAAAGTTATTTTGACTAATATATTTATGTTCATTATTCATTAGTAACATATCTTATATCTATATCATGGAACCTTTAATTTATTAACCACGAATTCAAGTTCAAATGAAGCTTCCTCCTTCATTAACCAAAATAGGCACCAAATCTCCTTTTTTATAATGTTCATCATAATGCACGTGGTCTTCAGACTTCGAAGGTACCTGGATGATTTCAACCTGAGTTTTTGTGTCCTCTTTCCTGTTTACATAGCCATGGCCGTGATCAAATAAACCCTTGAGACTAAGAACGGAGGCCAACACAGTTGAAAAGAATCCCATCATAAAAGCTGAAAGAAAAAAAATGTGAAAAATACTGAACCTCTAGATTATCGCTACTTACCCATGTCAATGCTGCACTTATTTGCATATAATTAAAGCCTTACGGCAAGTGCTATAATCCTATAAGTATCTTATTTGTAGGTAAATAGATATTACTCAATCACTCTAAAACGGATAACGAATTCGAATGTAATATATTCAACCACATTCACACAATGCCATTTCGTCCCAAACCAAGCAGAACTTTTAACTATGGGTACTAGACAACTGATATAAATACATTTTAAATACATACATATTTAAATGTGACGGTGGCGAAACGATGCAAACTTATAGTAGTTTTACTTGAAATGACACATTAAAAAAAATCATATCCCAAGAGGATAGTCCATCAATGAAATACAGGACCTAACCACTTATAATTTCTGTATGGTCAACCGTCGATTTAAGATTTAAGTATAAGACCCTGAGCTATTAGTTATTAAATACTCCTAGGCAGAGGAGTATTCTTTGAACTAAATTATGAGTTGTCAGATTGTGAAAATATTCTAAACGTAAATTTTTTCATAACTCCAAATACATTGAATGCTAAAAAGATGCTAATAAGAAGGACCATAAAGAAGGTAGAAAGGAATATTAATATATACGTATGGATTAGGAAATGTAAGGAATAGCACGAGAAGATCAGAGTCGCAGACCTGTTGTACCTCGAATTACGTATTGCAGGAAAGTCAAAACTATTTCTAACTGAAGGACAGATACAACGCCCTATAACAGATATAATATCTATTCCTACATATTTTAACAGTTTCGTTTCTTACCTTTCGCTGACATAAAAGCCAAAGCCTTCAAGGCAATAGGAATAAGCAGACTCTTGGCAGCAAGTAGCCCTAAGATCAATGGCATCATATATTTCTTCTTTGGATTCTTGATACCACCTCTTCTATTCTTCATTTTATTGTTCTTGATTACTTTGAAAATGCATTTCTTTCCTTTACCTTTGCCCTGGCGTTTCTTCTTGGATAGTTTTTTTCTTTTCTTTTTAGTATGTTTAGTCAATGTTTTAGGTTGGTCCTGTAAGTATCGTCCTACTTCTTCTTTAGTTACTCCTGAAATTGATTAGTAAGTTTTTGTTTAAAAGATACCGGTAATTAAAATGTATTTTTTTTCGGTTGGATTTGTTAGTTATTGAAATGAATTATATGGTTCCAAATATTTGTTAGTATGGTTCATCATCATCATCGACAGCTTTAAATAGTCTACTGCTGGACCTATTACTCTTCTTAATATCTTTGCATTATTTGCTTTCTTAAGAATTGGTGACTAGCTGACCCTGCAAACGTTGTTTTGCTATTTACATTATTAAAAAAAAAAAAAAATGAATTTCTTAAAATCCGTTCTTAGCTGACCTCTACTCGGTGAAAATAATATTCCTACCAAATTTCAAGTCTTTAGCTCTAATGGTTCCAGAGATATCGTGATGAGTGACTATATACTTGGAAATCTCTTATATAATATATATAGATTTTGGAAAAGAATTGGTGATTATCCATAATCGAAAATGCTGAGAGTGCTTTTTGATACTATGTACTTTTGTACTACGATATTATGTAGTTATTGACTAGCTCTGATGTGGTGTCTCCACAAATACACGAAATTTGCGTCAGAATGGTTTAGACCTGTTTTAGGGTCGTATAGTAGATAAACGTCGTAAATTAGGTTAAGTGTTAACAATGTCAGAGAAATTCATACATTTTAATACATTATAATATCCCTCTTTTTTATTTATGGGTATTTAATAAATAAGTACCAAAGATGTTGATGGAATGAACTAAATTCTCGAAACAAGAAAACTCTTAAACTATAGTTTAGAAATGAATGATATATTCCAGATTCAGGTAAATTAATCAACTATTGTTTGATTATACTTATGACACCTTTGACCAGCACTTTCTGTAACACTTTATAGACACTGAATTTGAACACCAAAAGTAGTCCAAATTCAATTGCATATTTTATTAAAGTAAATCTAATTCAAATCACAAAAAAATAAGTGTTATTAAATAATAAAGACAAAATATACCTTGTAAAGATCTAGGAGCAAAATTTCCACGAGTTATTATCCACTCGAGTGGCTCAGTAGAATTAAAGCTATCGTTCATATAGTTACCATGGCTAGTTGGGCTGAAACCAAATACCGTCTCTGTTTTCACTATACCATAATTATTCGCTTTGTCCACTATCAGTCCGCTGGAGTACGGCAGCATTTTAGGAAACTCTTTATCACAACCCACTAAAGTTCAAATTTGATTCAAATGCATAATTTAAGAACCGTTTCTTTACAAATGCAGAAATGAAATGGTGGTGACATGGGTTGTCAAAGACTTTTATAGCGTACGCAAATGAGTGCATTATGGCCTATCAAGCATTACGCCCTAATGAGTATGCGTTTTTCTAATTACGAACATTGTGGCCATTTCAGAGTTTAGGAAAGCGACGGCTAAATTTCTTTTTTTTTTAGGTAGGCGTCAATTTTATTTAGATTATGAAAACTTTAAAAACTCTCACCTCTCTCTTATTGATGATCTGCAGCATGTAAGGAATCCCTTCCTTAAATGCTCCTATATATCTTCTCTATGCCCTGTAGCTTCGCTTCTGTGATAATAATAACCCCCAAATATTGCCTCAGTGGTGCAGTGGCAGCATATGCGACTGCTGTTCTGAGGTCTCGGGCTCGATTCCCGAGTTGTATGCTCTGCAAATATTTGTTTGGGAGGTAGAGCGTTTTCTTTAAATAAAATGTAAGTATTTACAAAAAAAATAAGTATTCTACAAGTCAATCTAGGTTTCCTAGAACAAGCTCTGCTTAGTTTGAAACTAGATTGGCGTTATGCGTTAAATGTCCAAAATATTATATTATTGTATTAAAATATATTAATACCATTGTTAGTATTACTTGTAAGTTATTTGTTCGTTAAAATATTCAGAAACTTGCGGTTATCGATTGACAAGCAGATACATAGTTTTTTTTTCTTTTCTTTGCATCCTCTGAATATTGAATGGCAGAAAATATCTAAGGTATTATGCCCGCCTCTGTAATGCAGGTGCATAAAGTTTAAAATGAAAAAAAACATTTTCAGTTTGACACTAGCAAATTTGTCTTTTGTTTTAGTTAATTATTGTGTTGTTTAATTTTTTAATTTTAAATCAAAAATGTAGTATTTCAGACCTTTTGTCTTTGAAGGAAAACTTGAAACAAACCCAATACCAATCCGCCTGGCCAGCATAGTATAGTAGGCCAAAATTTAATTTCTAAGGAAAGGCCTATATCCAGCAGTGGATTACTAAAGGCTATTGATGATGATGATAATTACTCTTTAAAACAATTTTGTATCATCACATCGGAAACAACACGGCAGGATTTTAACATAATGGCTTAGATTAGAATGGATTATGCTTTATCGCATCCCAATTTTTTTACAAGAATGATATAGATGAATGTTTAAAACTGACATTCTGAAAGTTAAATAATTTAAAGAGAAAAATGAAAAGAAAACAATTTCAAATAATATTTTTATCACATTACATAAAGAAAGGTATATTATTTCTATTAATTGTGTAATTGAATAAACGCAAATGCAAGCATAATGCAAGCACATTTTTCTTAGTTATAATCTGAAACGAAACAAAAGTTTAAACCTTCTTGGTCTAAGCTTAGAAGAGTTCCTCAAGTGTCAATACGTTACACTGGCCGCAAAACAAAAGTCCAGCAGTATGACAATACCAAAATTTTTGACAACAAGAATCAAAACCGTAACAGAATGTAAAAATCACAATAAAAATATTAATTTTAAAACTCCAAACAACCTAAACACATAATCAAGAAAAAAAATGAGTTCTAGCGGTAACGGATAAAACATAACACAGTTTCACCATGGGTAAAAGAAAAAGACGCATTTTCCCAAAGAAGAAGAAGTCAGTTTTCAGCAGACCACACCCGATGAGGAGGAAAATGGCATTGAAACAGAGAAGAATGAAGGCGTTTATACACAAACACAGCCCGAAGAACTTCTTACAGAAAGGTATGAGAAAGATGGTAGGAGGGATTTACACTGTGTCTGATAAAGTGAGAGATAAGATAGCTGAGAGCGCCATGGCACTGGACAATCCCTTCAGTGCACAATTTTATGAGGACCGATGCAATATACAGTGAAATAGTGGCGTCACAAGAATTGGAAGCAATTTCGCAAACAAAAAGTTCTTTTTGTATTGGGTTCTTTAATGTTGTTTCATTCAATAGGTAATAAAATATTAGTCTTAAAATGCTTCTGTTGTTTCTTTTAATTGTTCCTATGTGCTATGTAAGAAAGCAAAGGTATGGCTTGACTAGACAAGCTAAATTTGAAATATTTAAACTATATAAAAACTTGGAATAAGCTTTGCAGTTTTATAGGATCCGAGTATTATAATATACACATCTCACACACGGCCGTCTGATCCCAAACTAGGCAGAGCCTGTGCTATGGTAACCTGACTGCTGATAAACATAATTATATATTTGTAAATACATACATATTATAGATAAATTACACCCAGACACAGAACAAATGACCGTGCTCATCACACAATATTTGACCTGGCTGGCACTAGACCAACAGGCCCGTTAATTAAAAGTGATGCGAAAACGGGGAAAATTTATTCATTTTAAACAAAACAGACAAAATAAGTCAGCGGGTTAAGTAATAAAATTGTGATAAATTAGTCTCTGATAAACCTTCCAACCACAAAAAAATATGTCGGTGTGGTGACGGATTAAGAATACAGAATGTCACCACCCCTTTTTTTTTCCGTCGGAATCCCCCCCCCCCCCCCCTATTCATCCCGTGGGTGTCGTAAGAGGCGACTAAAGGAGCAAACAACGCAGGACAACAGCACTACAGAGAGAAGGAAAACTTAACACAAACCCTATACCAATCGGTCTGGCCAGCGTGGTATAGTAGGCTAAAACCTCCTTTCTAAAGAAAGGCCTATGTTCAGCAGTGGACTATTAAAGGCTGTTGATTGATTTGATTGAAACCTTCAAACATCCTTAAATCCAAAACCGCATCTAAAACACATTATATGTCATGATGTAATGCTTTATATTGTAATGTGACCACCACGATAAATACCAGTTATACAAGTTTCAAGTATGCCAACGCACTCAGATCGTATTGTGTAACCCGTCGCTTCACACGCGGTGGGCAGTATATGCAAAGATTTCACATGTGGAAATATATTTTTAATAATTCTTATTAACATTTTGAAATCATCATCATCATCAATATCCTTTGATCATCAACTGCTGGACACTTTATGTTGTATGTTAGAAGTACTTGTCGTATTTGGTAACAACCAGTATTGTTCAATAGAAGTATCGTTTAATTGCAATTGCTGGTTGTAAAAGTGTGCCCTATTAAATAAAAAAAAAGTAATATAAATTACAATAATACAACAGATACCGTTACACAAACTTTTAAGTATATATTACTGTAATTTTATTAATTTTGTTATTGATGCTTGAAAACCATAGGCGATATTAACCTGTATTTAAAAGTGGACGAAATCTTCAAGTAGTTAAGTATTAATTCAGTCGAATTAATAATAATAATATCGCTACAATTCTCCATACGGCATGGCATCTAGACTGCTGATAAACATACTTATATATTTCAAAACACATACATCTTATAGGTAAATTAAACTCAGACACAGAACAAATAATCGTACTTATCACACAACTATTTGTCCTATGTGGGAATCGAACCTCCAGCTTATAGAAGTCAGAGTCACTAACCACTAAGTAGAACAGCAGGCCAACCGTGTATAAGTCGTATTTCAACTTTGTTGTGTAAGGTATTATCATCTAAAAGCCTAGCATATACTATGTGTATTCAACACAAATAGAAAGTAAGCGATGCCGCGATGGTACAAGTTCACTGTCGCGACCTTGGGAGCTAAGATGCAAGCGTACACTGCACATTATGCCACATTTACTGTAAACCTCCAGAGTTTAAGAAGGTGTTTATACGTTACTAGCTGACCCGCGCAACTTCGTCTGCGTCTCTCAATAGTAATAAATTTTCTCCGTTTTTGAAACATTCTTCATTGGTGCTCCGCCCCTTTTGGTCTAAGCGTGATGATATATAGCCTATAGCCTTCCTCAATAAATGGGCTATCTAACACTGAAAGAATTTTTCAAATCGGACAAACAAACAAACAAACAAACTCTTCAGCTTTATAATATTAGTATAGATTCCCGAAAAGGTAGTAGTTTGGGTATAAACAGCTGCGTCCTCATGAACACGCCAGCCAAACCAGGCCTGAGAACGCATTGCCTCAACGCATTTATCATCATCAGCCTGCACCCAGGATCGCAGGAGCACCCGGATCCCGGTTTTAAGTATTTCGCATCTATCCTCAGCCAGCCACTTTCTTTAATTCGTTGCTCCATCGTGCCGCAGGAAGCCCTGCACTATGTTTGCATAATTGCGGCCCCTGATGCATTTATATATATATAATTCTTATGGAATAAGGGGCAAACGAGCAGACGGGTCACCTGAAGGGAAGCGACTACCGCCGCCCATGAACGTCTGCAACTCAGGAGTCACAAGCGCGTTGCCGGCCTTTAAGGAAAGAGTACGCTCTTTTCTTGAAGGTTTGAAGGTTATATCGGTCCGGAAATACGACAGCCAATAACTTAGCAGTGACCCTGACTGCTAAACCGCAGGGCGTGGGTTCGATTCCCACCCAGAACAAATATTTGTGTCATAAGCACGATCTTTTGTTCTGTGTCTGGGTGTAATTTATCTATAAAATGTTGTATGTATTTAGAAATATATAAGTATGTTTATATGCAGTCTGGTTACCGTAGCACAGGCTCTGCCTAGTTTGGGATCAGACAGCCGTGTGTTAGATGTGTGAGGTTATTATAGTAAAGTTGAAAGCTATAAATGATTCACTTCTAAGCGTTCGTTATTAAGGTTAACTAAGTAATTACTAAGTAATTGGTAGTGCGAGGCAAAAAGTGTCTTGAAAAGCGCACAGTGGTGGAGCGCCAATTTCTTTAAAAAGACAACTCCCACATTAGGAATATATCCTGTGTCGCCGGGGACTTTACAAACATACATGAAACAGACACAAGGAACACCCAGACTCAGAACAACAATTTGTGGATTACACAAAGTGTCGTCACATGTGTGGTTTGAACCCATAACACTCGGCACAGTAGAAAACGGCGTGGCGACCGCTTAAACCACTACGCCATCCGTGCAGTTATATTATCGTCAAATTATATTAGATATAAATAACGCCAAGATTAAAAACGTGTTCAAATTAGACCAACTTTTAATATTAAAGTTGTAAGCCTTACGAAACAAACTTTCTTAGTTTTATACGTAAAATAAACCTCCCGTGGCCGACGTCACCCGTATATGTGGCAAAGTGTGCGAGGGCACTTAGGCACTCTCCCGGAGAAGTAGAGAAAGTTTTCGGTAGCAGCCTTGACCCGTTTAAGCGATTAGAAGGTAGATAGCATTTCTAATGATGAAAGATTTCAACCTATCGAGATAATTTAATGGTACATCTATTGTATTCAGAAAATTATATTCATGATACTAGGAAGTCGAGAGATATACAGAACTTGATAGTTCAGTGAACTCTAGCAGTAAATCTATGCTAAATTGTAAAGCCAAAGAGTTGTTTGTTTGGTTAAACGTGCTAATCTCAGGAACTAGTAGTTCGAATTGACAAAAAATTTTAGTGTTGGATAGCCCATTAATCGAGGAAGGGTATTTGCTGTATAACATCATGTAACGACCAGTAAAAGCAGAGTATCAATGAAAAATTGTTACAAAACGGGGAAAATTTATTCCTTTTGACATATATTGACCTATATTCTGATGAAGTAATAAATTTGTCATAGTTCATAATTAATATAATATTATTATTTGTACATTAAATGAATAAAATTATATTTTTAATAAATTAATATAATTTTATTAATTTATTATAAATATATTATAAATATGTTGTAAATGTAATATATTGTATTTACAAAAAAAAAGTATATATGTATTTATATCAGTTATCTAGTACCCATAGTACAAGCTCTGATGAAGATGCAAGATGGCGTTGTGTGAATGTGGAAAAAAAAAAAAAAAAAACAAAGTTAATCCCTCCCTCTCCCTTCCTATGCAGAAGGTACGTGGATGGCAAAGATGTCGTTTTATTCTCTCCCTAGAATCAGAGGAAGAGGGGTTTGGGCTCCACTAACCTCACTTATTTAAAGAGTTATTATTTTTAAAATATATTTTTTTTTTTTTAAAAGACAACTCTCACATTAGGATTATACTCGTATCCTATGTCGCGGGGGACTATACAAACGCACATTAAACGGACACAAAGAACACCCAGACTCAGAACAACAATTTGTGGATCACACAAAGTGCCGTCTTATGTGGCGATCGAGCCCAAACACTCAGCGTAGTAGGAAGCGGTGTGGCGATCGCTTAAACCACTACGCATCGGTGCAGTCAAATCAACGAACGAATTGTTTAATATCGGGTTTCTGTGAGGCAGTATCACTCCGGTCGAGCCGACCCATTTGTAAGAAGGAATGACTCTCCCATGTTTAAAACAGAACGTAACAAACAATGTAATCATCACATCACATCATCACATCAACAGCCTATGACAGTCCACTGCTGGACATAGGCCTCTCCTGTGAAAGGAGGTTTTGGCTGTACCACGCTGGCCAGACGGGTTGTTGACGGGTGGATAGGGTTTGTTTCAAGTTTTCCTTCTCTTTGCAATGCTGTTGTCTTGCGTAGTTTTCTCCCTTAGTCGACTTTTCCCAATGGGATGAATAGGGTTGTCGACATTATGTATTCTTAATCCGTCACCACACGGAATACAGATGTAAGATATTGTATGAAATAACACAGAACCAACTTTTTATCCCGCAGCGGTGGATTGACTGTGCATAAAACAGTTATAATATACTTTATATTCTAAAACAGTAGTTCCTATACCAGGCCATGGTGACAAAGGAGGTGACGTCACACAGAATGTTACCGGATCTTTAAAATATCCTTTAGAAAGCGGTTATTTGACAGCAAATGGGTAAAGAATGTAACAATAACGCGAGCTCTGCCAACGCTCAATACTTCAGTTTTCACTTCAAACATGTAAATATTGATATGTAATACTGTTTTGCATCTTTTTTACACAGACAAGTTGATAACTAAGCGAATGACTAAATAATTAAATTACATTATAAACAAAAAACCTTTTTTATTTAACCCCTTTTAAGATTGTACCTGATTTGGAGTAACCAATATGCCTTGCACAAGAATATCAGTGTAAATCGTTGGCCTCGTAACAGTTTGCGATGAACAGCGTCTACGGTCGCCCTATCGGCCCATACAGGTGCATCATAGCACATAGAACCTAAATAAGTGGCTCCGTATATGATCTTTAGTGTGTTAAATAATACACTGTAGTTGATATCCTTGTCAAAGCACAGAAACTCTTTTTAGACTTTTCATTAACTGTTTCAATATTTACTATAAATAAAAAGTTTATTTCTAAGACTAGCCCTAAATAACACACTGAGGTGTTATTTTCACAGTGACATTGTCAAATTTAATACTCCTCGGTGATTTATGGTTACCTTTTAAAAGTAGCTGGAAGGTTTTGTTGGGCGCAAAAGTTAAGCGATTACGTTGACCCCAATGAGATATTAAGTTCAAATATCTATTGGCTAATTTCTCAAGCCCCTCCCTAGTATCAGATTCCACCAATAATAAACCGTCATCAGCATACGCGTTCAGAGTACATCCGGGTTTTATTGGTATCCCAAGAAAATCGTCGAAGCCGATATTCCACAAGCATGGACCCAGCGCTGATGCCTGAGGATATACCATTGTAATCCCTTCCGACACAGAATGATGACCAAGTCTTGTTTGGTTGTACCTTCTAAAAAGTACGAAGAGATAAGGGAATAAATATTTCTAAAGCATCCCCGTGATTTCAGCAACAGCATGGGCCACCATGCGTAGTCGAAGGGGCCAGATATGTCTAAGAAAATAGCCAACACGTATGGAAATTTTGACTCTGTAACAATCTTCCTAACCGATTTAAGCGCATCAATTGTCGATATCCCGAACGTAAATCCAAATTGTCTATCATGAAATGTAACTCCACCCGGGAGAAGCCGGGGCACTACAAGACGTCCTAAAAGCTTTCCTAACGCTGGTAACAATGTGATTGGTCGATAGGGTTTAGGATCATCCGGCGGTTTCATCCTGTGTTTTTGGTATTATATGAATACTACCGCACCGCCAAATACGAGGAAATATTCCTTCCGCAATGCAACATTTAAAAACAGTCAAACTCATGTCAATCGAAAGTTTACAAGCTTCTTTGATCGTTTTTTTTGGTATTTTATCATAGCCCAAAGCCTTTGCTTAGCAGTCAAGGCCACTAACTACTAGAATCTACTGCCAACAGCGCTGTCATAGATTAGTCTTCATAGCGGTGGTCGGGCTATAGAGCTTGAAAGCAGGGGTGGTTTGGATTAGGTGTTTTGTGTCTTTTTACTTTTTAATCGGTTCGATATTAAAGTTTGCTTTTTATTTTCTAAACAAAGACTTTTGGTGTATGGTCAACCATCGAGTCAAGCCGCTTTGGACACAGTTAGAGTACACCATCAGCTAGTGTTTCCATAATCTGCCCTATTCAGAAATAGTTCTGCCTTCAGAAGCTATTATTCGAACAGTAATGGATTCTCCCTATAACATAAGAAAAATCTTTTATTGAATATAAAAATATAACATAACTACTATCAAGTTCTATATTTTCAAAGTAACACAGTCTGTATATTTTTATAGAATACGTAGATATGTAATTTAATATGCATTTATCGATGAAACTAAGTGAAATGTAAGTAATTCGGACATTACAAATGGCGCGATCAACTAGTTTATGCAACACCATTTCCAGTAAGCCACATAATATAATTAACACAAATAGGTCCGATATTGATGTTTAAACGTGTCTATGGTGCACCACTTCACAAGCATAGATTTCATATTTTGTATTGATCTCAATAATCATACTTTATAGTGAATAAGAAATAAACTTTATACATATCAAATTAAAACATGTCATTCAATGTTGATGTTTGACTTGTAAAAATATTTCAATTTAGTATTTTTTTAGAGCAATGTATGAAATATATAACATATGAATGGGATTTAAAGCAGATGCCAGAAAGATATTGATCCTTTAAATTCCCAAATTTTTTTATGTATCCTGCAAAGTAAAACTTACGACGATAAAATTAAAAAAAATACTTTAATAAACATAAACTACTAGAAATAAAGTTTCTATATAGTGGACTTTTTCTCTCTCTCCATTTTAATTAGAACCTATTTCTGTTACTAGTAACTGAAACATATAAGTTAAGGGAGCTAGGTTAAAGGGGGAATTTTAGCCTAAATTCTGCGATGGAAAAATTAACTGCTGGGTTCACATGACCATATTTATGTCTTTCCTTTTTCAAATTTTACCAATTCTGGACTACTTCGTGCCAATATTGTGTCCACTATTAATAAATCTTTCTCCTACTTGAAGTATACTTGTCTAGTCTTGTAAAGAGGCCTAAAACTTTTCAGGCCAGTTTATTAAAAAAGCAAACCCGAACCTTTTCAGAAACATTTACTTTATTTCCGGCAAGACCTTTAATAATAAAATCTTGAAGCAATTTAATAATTACATTATTTAATTGAAAACGTAATATCTTAATCTTAATTGCAGTTCCCTGATATACTTTTAATATTGTTCATCATCATCAGCAGACTTTGTTGGTCAACATAAAAGTTAACATCAAACCATATCGAAACCAAGTACCAAAACCTCTCGCTATACCAAGTTTGTGGCCATCATCCTTGTCACGGAGTCAACGCACAATATAAAGGCGCTCGCCATCCCGGACGCATCTCACTTACACCTAACCCGTCAATAAGGACACATCTGACCTTAAAAAAATATTTTTAAGTCCGTAGAAAATTACGTAAATAAAATGCGTGTGTTGTGTTTTATCCTCGCTATTGCTGTTGTGGCCTGCAGAGCTGCTCCAGGGACTTCAAATGACGATGATGGCAGAATTGAGCTATTTTCTGGTGTCGCCATAGAGAAGTAAGTGTTTTTTTTTATCAGATATTAGTAAATGATTTTCCAGCCATGACTTACACTTGACATAGGACTGCAGAACTGAACTAAACTTAAAACCTTAAGGACGTTAATAAATAAATAATATTAATAATATTTAAATCTAAACAACATTTTACTTTAACACCAAGTGTTATTTTTATTAAAACATAGGTCATGGATTCAGAAATAACACATTATTTTTTCAACACGCACACATAAGTCAGACAGATAATAATTTACAAAGGGTGGCTTTATTGTCAAATTTTCCTTTTAATCTAATTTATTAGATGATATGTGAAGGCTTTGTAAATTATTTGTTTGTCTTAGTTTGTTAGATGATATGTAAATTGGGAAACAGTTTTAGAAAAGAGTTTTGTTATTATGTGACAAAGTCCTGTGCAACCTCGTGGAACGTGGAACAGTTCATGGTATGTCATTCCCATCATGTAACGCATTAATTTTTAAATTCTAATCTATCTAATTACATACAATTATTTGTCGTTTAATTTAAAAGTTTAAAAGTTGGTTTTGGCAATAATTATTTATTTCTTTCTTAATAAGTCTATCATTGCATTCATAGTTACGTTTTAGTTTTTATTTTTTATTACAAAATTGTGTGAAAATGTCAACGTATATTTAATTCTGAATAAATCTCTAATTCAAAAATTTAATTCTCTTGATCACCATTAGTCTAAATCTCGTAAATGACGGTCATTAAGATAAATTGGTAAGGGATTAGAAAATATTTTTTATTTATTTGGTTGGAATCATCAGAAATATAATAGAATACCACACAGTAAGCATTAAAAATCAGAAAATTTTACATCTATGGCAATCAAAGTAATTTTCCCATAAAATTAACTTACAAAAATAGGGCAGAGAATATAGAGAACCATATATTCCTTGACGTATCGCTGTTGACTGCAAAATGCAACTGATAAGCATTCGTACAACAGCATACAAAATACCAATAAATTGATACATAATCGTATTAGAAAATTTTAGTTCATAACGAATCTATCTCATCATAATAACATTAAGACTTTTAACAGTTCTTAGAAGAGACATAGATTTGTTCATTAAAAAGAAATATATCCTGGTTTGTGTCTAGATGAAAATAGGACCCGTTTATACTATCGATTCTATTTCAAATTAACAAGGGAATATCACTAGGAGCCATTACATCACTAGAGTCAGGAATACTTTAAAAACAGAAAGTTACAAAAGCAACTGAACAAATGGTTTTTGTCTCAGCCTGCAAACTGGATATCTATTTAGCTACAGAACCTTTTGCTTATACTTTGTGCTTTATAATAAAAATAACAATTTAAGACACCTTTTGTTTTTTTTTTCCGTGCGGAAATCCCTTCGGATAACACCACATGTCGGACTCGAACCGACTAAAACCGCACGCCTTCTCGGGTACTAATAGCCGGGGAACCAGGTATACCCTAGAAAGGAAGTCCCTGGTGCCCCGATATACCTCGGGCCATCTACAGACGAGTAGACGACCCCCCGTATGGGAACCCCATGTTCCCTCTACTGCGGCGAGCGCGCTTCGCAACGCGCTCGCCGCCACCCCGAATTTAAGACACCTAACACTGCCATCTGCACCCAAACTAGCCAAATCCAAATGGTAACCATACTGCTGACAAACAAATGTATGCTTATGTTAGCAAATATGTACTTATTATAAATAAAATACACTAGACACAAAACACATGATAATGCTCATCACTCAGTAATCTGTCCTGGGTAGGAATCGATACCATAACCTGTGATTAGAAGTCAAGACCACTAACCAATAGTCCAAAAAACTATTTATTACCATAAATGATTGCATTGCATTATGAAATCTCAACAGCATGACACCGTGACGTAAGCTATCCCTTTATTGGATGCAGATCACGCCGACTTTCATTTTGGACAAAAGGTTTATAAAGTGGATTGCTATAGATATTATTCAAATCAAGCTTTAAGCCGAACTTTCTCCTTTCTCTTCCTCTCTTTCTACTCCTTTATTTGTATCAAATAGAGGTCTTTAAAGGGCCACTTTTCATTACGGGTTGTTAACGACAAGTGGCAATTTTTCAGAAGCGTTAGTATGGCGTAAACTGCTATGGAGTATTTCCTTGTATTCATCATCATCATTATCATCAACAGCCTTTAACAGTCCACTGTTGGACATGCGCCTGTCCTTAGACAGGAGGTTTTGGCCTACTATACCACGCTGGCCAGACAGGCTGGTATAGGGTTTGTGTCGAGTTTTTCTTCTCTTTGCAGAGCTCTTGTCGTGTTGTGAGCTCCATTAGTCTTCTCTTACGACACTCATGGGATGAATAGGGGTGGAGACACTCCGTATTCTTAATTCTTAGTCAACACACGACACATCATCCTACATGCATTACACATTTCTACTGAATGATTGTGTTATTGTTATTTATTTTATTGTACATCTTCATGCACTTATTTATCAGCGGACTTAATGCGCTGGGCATTCTTTAACAGCCAACCAGTTATTTATTTTAATGCAGATATTTTCAGAACAAGCTTAACTTTAAACCGATACCACTTGGTGTTCTATATCTATAGTTTCATTAACTTTATCTCTCGCTAGAAATTCTAAGCCTCATCAGTTAATTTTCATAAAACTTTTACTTTTATTTTCTGGTGAATTTTTTGCTGCATTTAATTAAATAGGGAATCAAAAACTAATTTCTAAAGTTTGACAAATCATAGTCAACCATTCCAAAGAAATCTAACTAGTCAAAATATCAAAATAGTTGTCAGTTATGATATTCGCAGTATTCGAACTTAAGCGAGGGTTAGCGGTGAGGGTTGCAGGTGTTTGCGGCATAGGAGGCAAACGAGTATTGGATACTCGTTTGCCTCCTATGCCGCAAAAAAAGCACATTACAATTCAATTAATAATAATAATAATAATAATATATCTCACACACTCACACACGGCCGTCTGATCCCAAACTAGGCAGAGCCTGTACTATGGTAACCAGACCGCTGATAAACATACTTATATATTTCTAAATACATACATATTATAGATAAATTACACCCAGACACAGAACAAATGACCGTGCTCATCACACAATATTTGTCCTGGGTGGGAATCGAACCCACGACCTCCGGTTTAGCAGTCAGGGTCACTAACCACTAGACCAACAGGCCCGTCAAAATTATTTTATTAAAGAAATCTAACACTACACGCGTTCTTAATTTAGAAGAATTATGAACTATTTAAATAAGATTTTAAATTACACCTATTGAGTAAACATTCAGTTACCCCATTCTTATGTAAATTAAGTGAAAATAGACTCGTTCACTTATGAAACAACATTGAAAGGAATACAGTTTTCTAAAGTATATTTATGTAAGTTTAGTGTGTTGTGTTATTCTACTTATGGTAATATTGAGAGAGCTCATTCAAGAAGATAACAAAGTGTACATAATAACAATGGTTACATGGAATACTTTACTGCATAACTACTTAAATAGTTTAAGTGTTAGACTTGTGTTGAAACGATCGCAGATTCGAACCTCATTATTGACGTGAATTTACAATTGTCACAGTCTTTTTTTAAAAAGGTTAATTTCTATATTCACATTATCAAGGTGATGGGTTTTTGTTGTTTGATTGAACGCGCTTATCTCAGGAACTACTGGTTTGAATTTAATTATAATTTTAGTATTAGATAGTAAATTTATCAAAGAAGGCTATAGGCTATATAACATCACGCCACGACTAACAAGAACCAACTACAAGGAGTAAAAGGGAAAAATTGTTAAGAAACGAGAGACTCAAAATACATAAGTTGTGCGAGGAGTTGTTGTTATTTTGAGTGCCAGTTTCTACTTAGTCCATTTTCGGTCTTTCGTACCACACTCTTTCCTTATAGTTTACTTTTTAGACTTATAGCTTAGCCAAACACGGAAATTACTTGGAGCGGCTTAATAGAAAATGAAATATGTTTGACCCCAAAAACGAAAACATCAGTAAATATATCTACCAATAGCTTCTGATTCGTGATTTACTTGTTTAGACGCAAAGGAAGAATCTGTCGACTAGCCTTGGTGTTCGTTCGTTCGTTCTATGATAAATTTGTAAATACCGGGTGTTAGAAAAGTACCGGAACAAAATAATAATTCGCCAGGAATGCATTTTTCGGAAATACGTTAAAAACAAAAGTTACAGGTTTTTCCCTGGCTGTCCATTGGTGACCTTAAAATTGACCTCGCCTACAACCTTGAAGGTTATCTCAAGTGTCAAGGGCAATTTTTCATTTCAAATGGGATTGCGTAATTTTGAGCCCGGAATTGAAAAGAAAGGAAAAAATTACAATTGGATATGACCTCTAAAGAACTAATTTTGACCTCGATCTAATTAATCGAAGTTGATTATTCTCTTCAGCCAAGAGACAATCTACAAGATTAAGGATTTTTACCTGGTTATTCAGTGGAGACCTTTGATCAGGAATGGGTAAACTCTGATCTGAATTTCAAGGTCCTTTTAAGGGCGCGGTCATATTTTTAAATAGGATCCTAAAAATTAAAGAATCTCTAAACGTGTAAGTTTGACCTTGGATTGGAGTGAGTATTGCCTGACTAGAAGTTAGGATTAATTTCAAAAGACATTAATAAACAATCAGTCGGAAATGCATCTGATTATGGAAGTTGTCTTCAGTGGAGATGGATTTTAAACCATGTCTGCTTTATTTATGATAAATATCTGGCAATAATTGAACTGGGCCTCAAAAACTTGTAACTTATAAAGTAGAAAATACTTAAAACTTTTATTGAATTGATATTGGTGTGTGTAATGTTATTTTGTACTTATTTAAGTTTCATATTTTATTTTCTTATTTGGTTTGTTAATTTATTTACAGAGACGTCACCGGTGAAGAAAAACTAAATGTGAAATTTGAGCCTGGTGAACTGAGAGACGCAGCGAAGAGTTTTGCTGAAGGTACATCGATTGTACTACATTTTCTTTTCTATTTTTCTATTTTAAAAAGACAACGCCCGCATTAGGAATACATATTCCTGTGTCGCGGGGGACTTTACAAACCTACATGAAACGGACACAAAGAACACCCAGACTCAGAACAACAATTTGTGGACCACACAAAGTGTTGTCCCATGTGGGGTTTGAACCCACAACACTCGGCGTAGTAGGAAGCGGCGTGGCGACCACTTAAACCACTACGCCATCCATGCAGTCATTATAATTACATAGCCTTATATAATCGTATATTATATATATACGATTATATAGGGATTATAATAGTAGTCCATGAGGTGACGGATTAAGAATACGGAATGTCACCACCCCTATTCATCCCATGGGTGTCGTAAGAGACGACTAAGGAAGCAAACTACGCAGGACAACAGCACTGCAAAGAGAAGGAAAACTTGAAACAAACCCTATATCAACCCGTCTGGCCAGCGTGGTATAGTAGGCCAAAACCTCCTTTCTAAGGAGAGGCCTATGTCCAGCAATGGCCTGTATAGGCTGTTGATGATATAATCGTATCTCGAAATATATAAATTTTACATCACCATAACAGAGACTAAAAACTACTTTTAAAATTCAGAATTCGTAAAGTTTTTTCTAAAAAAAGGCATAAACCTAAGGCGCTTTTTTCTGGTTAATTACATGCTTAGATCAATTTCCGAGATACGATAATTCCGCTCTCTGCTGTTGAATTAGATGTTTAGGATACTAAATCTATGATTCAATACTTAACACGCTGCAATATGCGCCAAGAATATGAAAGTTGCCGGTAGTAGGTTAATGAACTGTTACGTCAGAGCAGTGCCCTCTCGGTCAAGGCCACGAGAATGTCTACCAATATTCACTGACCAGTAAGGAAGTAAAGTTTATTAAGAGAATGCCTGTTGGTCTAGTGGTTAGTGACCCTGACTGCTAAACCGGAGGTCGTGGGTTCGATTTCCACCCAGAACAAATATTTGTGTGATGAGCACGATCGTTTGTTCTAAGTCTGGGTGTAATTTATCAATAATATGTATGTATTTAGAAATATATAAGTATGTTTATCAGCAGTCTGGTTACCATAGCACAGGCTCTGCCTAGTTTAGGATCAAACAGCCATATATGAGATGTGTATGTGAGTCAAAAAAAAATATTGTCGGATCAAGCCTTTATGCAGGCAGAAAAAAAAGAATTCCTTTAAAATTGTTGGCAATGTAAAATATTCTGAATTCTTTTCTAAAAGATAAATTAGTAAATTCTTAAGACACTTATTTTTACTTCTAGCTCGAGGCAAAATCAAGAAGTATACGCCTCTTCTAGCAGGTATTGGTGTCAAAGTCCTGGCTGTAGCTGGCCTGTTGTTCGGCGGTCTCACACTGCTGGTTACTAAAGCCTTAGTAATCGCCAAGCTGGCCTTCGTGGTAGCAGCAGCTCTTGGCATTCAGAAGCTATTGAGTGGAGGTGGTTTGAACAGCATCAGCGGAAAGGTAAGACTTATTAATAATAAATTAATTATTTACCTTTATTAACCTATTATTGCGGGGCTGACACCCTTCCTTCCTCCTCCCCCTTACTGAAGTTCACCTTTTTGTATGGAAGAGGGGCAGACGAGCAGACAGGTCACCTGATGGATAGTGATTTCTGCCGTCCATGAACGTCTGCAACTCAGGAGTCACATAGGCCCGGAAATAAGGCAGGCGATGACTTGGTCCACAAATTAGTTGTGCAAGGCAAAAAGTGTCTTGAAAAACGCACAACTTATTCTTCCCACTTACCCACACCACCTTCAAAATTTAAAACAATTAAACTGTTTCCATCAGATCGCCGGCATCCAGTCTTCCCAGCAGTGGTCATCTCCAACAGCGCCAGCATCATCATACCCTTACGCCAGATCATCAAGTGTCGCCAACGATGCCAATGACTTGGCCTATGACGCACAGATACCTTCATAAAGAGAGAAAAAATCAAAACAAGTAGCAGTTTTAAAAAGAGACATGAAATTTAATCTCTACAAGCATATCAAAAAAATTCACAGTTCATGCTTAAAAGATAAAAACACATTTCAAAGTATTTTTTATACCATACAATACTGTGCTGTATTCCCCTGTACTGCACTGCACTGCACTGCACTGTACTGCACTGCACTGTATTTTGCTCTCCTGTACTGTACTGCACTGCTCTGTACTGCACTGCTCTGTACTGCACTGCACTGTACACTGCACTGCACTGTACACTGCACTGCACTGTACACTGCACTGTACTGCACTGTACTGCACTGTACTGCACTGCACTGCACTGCACTGTACTGCACTGCACTGTACTGCACTGTACTGCACTGCAATGCACTGTACTGCATCCTTTAAATGTCTCTGAACACTGAAAGTCCTAATTTTGAACTATGTTAAAAGTATATTTATTATTAAATAGGTTAAAATGATTACAGATTTCCAAATGATCTTTATTATGTATAAGAAAACATTAATAAAATATTATTATTACAACCTATTACAATTACATAATTTAATTATTTTTTAATGTTAAAAATATAATATAATGGTGCGTTTATAAGCTTTAAATTATATTTATGAATGCTGAATTCAATGGTGCAAGATTTGTTATAAAAATTATCAATTTTTGTTAGAATTATTTATTTAATTTATTTTAAATAATATGTACAAATAAAAAAAAACATGGACGGTGCAGGGTAAAAGCAGACGAAATAATTTTTTGATTAAATTAATTTGTCACTGTTGTATAAAGCGGTCCTTTGGTCTAACTTCTTATTAAACTATTAGTTTTAGAAATGCACTAATACGGGTTTATGTGTCATAGAACCAAACATTGTACTTAAAATATTTTAATCATTTATAAGACTGTACAATTAGTTATAGGAACAATAAAATGTAATTTTATTATTGTATTTTATTACAATTAATTTCTAAATTTCTTGGCGGTTCATCCTGACGACTAGGCCAGAGACACCCAGGACAAATAAATGTGTTTTGATCACGATCATTTATTTCTTCTGTGCTTGGCAGTAATTTATCTGTATGTAATTAGTAATATACAAGTATATTTATCAAAAGTCTGGTTAATGTACAGGCTCTGCCTAGCTAGTGTGTGTATGTGTGTGTGTGTGTGTGTGTGTGTGAGATTATATGATTACGACGGGTAGTTGAAAATGTATCTTATCCAGTAATGGAACAATTAGCTTATAGTTCTATTACAAGGGCTTTTTGGGATCCAACTTTTACGTAACGATTGCAACCACAGAAATCGTAATAATTCACATCATCACATCACATCAACAACCTTTACTAGTCCACTGCTGGACATAGGCCTCTCCTTAGAAAGGAGGTTTTGGCCTACTACACCACGCTGGCCAGACGGGTTGGTATAGGGTTTGTTTTAAGTTTTCCTTCTCTCTGCAGTGCTGTTGTCCTACGTAGTTTGCTTCCTTAGTCGCCTCTTATGACACCCTCGGGATGAATAGGGGTGGTGACACTCTGTATTCTTAATCAGCCACCACACGGACATTATCCGGATATTAATCGTAATAATAAGACACTAAAAATGAATTAGCGCCCAATAAATGAATGTTTACAAAGGCAGATATCTTATTGAAGTATTCATTGAGATGTAAATTAGTAAAAACAATGATTTATTATTAAAAAACAAACTTACCGATGAAATGGTACGCCTTTATCAGTTGAATTACACGTCCCTGATGCGTTTTAACAACCCATAATGCTGCAGTTCACCATATTAACAATATAAATTCACATACGAAACTAAATCACGAATGGTTTGAATTTCGGCTCTTTCCACTTGAACCCTCTTTCTGAATCCCCAGGGGATTGTACAACACTCACTATTTGACTTCGGTACCCCAGGAGATTACACAACACTGAACATTCCACTCAGATCCCCTGGGTTATTTATGACGCATATAGATCATAACCACCATTGCTGGTGCAGGTCAATGGTGCATACGAAAGCATGGGGTAGACATCATGTTATTCTATATTTATTTAAACACATGTCTACTAAAGAAAATGTTCAAAAAATTCAACGTAAAGTTCAGCTACGAGTGGATACAAATACCACCGTACAAAAGGTGCGTTACAATTGGAGTAAAAATAAATGTAGTGGTTATGGTTAATAATAAAAAACTATATTTGATATTTTATTAACCTTATGTTGTAGTATGAAATTAACTATGTTTTATTATTTTTAGAGGGGACTGAAAAGGAAATAAATTTATTTGTATTTGTTGAGTCCCCAGCACAGGGGATCGAAGTGAAATAGTGAGTGTTGTACAATCCCCTGGGGGATTGAATCAGGGGATTAAAAGTGGAAAGAGCCTGAATTTCTATTCGTGGTGTTCGTCTACACATCATTGCGGCGACAAGGCGATTTTAAGTGTCTTATTACCATTTCTATGATTGCAACAGATGTTCATATGGCAACGGTGACGGGTCTCAATGTGTTCATAATGGTTACCCTCCCCAATCTACCCATATGAGCAGCATTCCTTTGCTTTTAGTATCTTCCCTTTCCTTTTAATTATGGTCCCCATTTTTAATATTTCATTCCCATATTACGTGAGTAGAATCTGTTAAATTAGCATAATGTGGATATTTACTATTGAAGAAAAAAAATGAATGGACTGCTTGAAAGAGGCTAAAAAGTGATAAAATGATGAGGGGTTATGAAAATCATTCACATTTTAGTGTTGTAGAAGCACCATTATGACTGTTTTGATCCGTAAGATTCAAACAGTTTCACTCGCTTATTTAAAACTACTAGTGACATCTGTTGGTACTTTCAGAGAACTACTAGTTACTCAAATTTAGATTTGTAAAAATTGTGTAGTCCGTGTGGTGACGGATTAAGAATACGGAATGTCACCGCCCCTATTCATCCCATGGGTGTCGTAAGAGCCGACTAAGGGAGCAAACTATGAAGGACAACACCACTGTAAGGAGAAGGAAAACTTGAAACAAACCCCATATCAACCCGTCTGGCCAGCGTGGTATTACCATACCACGTCCTACTGGACGAAACATCTTTTCTAAGGAGAGGCCTATGTCCAGCAGTGGACTGTTATAGGCTGTTGATGATGATGATGACGAAAATTTGAGTAAAAAATATTTATATTGAAAGTATACAGTTTATGTTAAAATCATTTATTTTATGTTAATGTAATGATAATTTGTTAAAAAATCATTTCATGTTAAGGTTTTGAGAAGTTATGGAAAGAAGATAATCATATTTGTTCTTTCTATTATATTACACAAAGTTTTCGTAACTTGAACACCTATTTGAATTACACTTTTTAGGAAATTTTAAATACTGGTTATTCTGATGAAACCTTGAAGATGGAAAAACTGCATAATTATATATTCAAGTTTATTGTCGCATGTTTTTGTTATCTCTATAACTTATTTACATTACTAAGACAGAAGCAATCTATACAAATAAATAAAATTAAAATGTCTGTTTGTAATGTCAAAATAATATGTTTTTTCATGCTTATATGATAATTGCACGATACATATGCCTAGGAACCATTTTATATAATTTTGTCTGTCTGTTTTTTCCGGGTAATCTTCAAATCGGTACGACCGATTTCGATAATATTATACTACCAGTTAGCCTTCTATTACGAATTAAGAATACAAATTGTCACCACCCCTATTCATGCCGTGGGTGGCTAAGAGACAGCTAAGGGTGCAAAGTACGCAGGACAACAGCACTGCAGAGAGAAGGAAAAATCGACACAAACTCTATACCAACCCGTCTGGCCAGCGTGGTATTGTAGGCGAAAACCTCCTTTCTAAGGATAAGCCTATGTCCAGCAGTGGACTACTAAAGGCTGTTGATGACGATGACAATGATAAGGTCAAAGACTTGGTTCGTTGGTTAAAAAACTTACTAACCGTTCAATTTATACATTTTTATGGTTCTAAAATGTGCCGTGTAGTGCCATGTATTGAGCATAAAGATAAACTATATAGAAAAAAAATTGTTTTACTTTCTTATGTACTTTCTTTAGAGTTCATGACCAAGATATCTCTATATACTCTAGATATATAATTAGAATTAAAAGAGGTGCAGGGTACACCTCGGTCAATTTGCCAAACATTACTATTGTTCACACGGTTATTTGCACGATACCTATGCCTAAAAACCAGTTTAAATATTTTTTGTGTATCTGTCTGTCTATCTGTCTGTTTGTTCCGGGTAATCTTCAAAACGGCTGGACCAATTTTGATAATATTTTACTACCAGGTAGCTGTATATACAAGGAGTAACTTAGACTTTTCTTCCTCTCAGAAAACCCTATAAAATTTAACCCGGTCCGGGAATCGAACCCACTTAGGCAGTTACTAGTTAGTTAGGTTAGGTTACTATAGTAGTTTCCTACTGTATATAGCAGTGTAAGGCGCGGCAGCCTCCCGCCCCAGGCTGACTACAGTCACCCCGGGATGCGGCTCAGACATGGGGTACGGCAGGGAGAACTCCAGAAGCCGCCGATGCGTTCCTGGAGCTCCTCCTGACTGCCGAGATAGGCCGCCGTGAGGTTTAGTGGGTAAACCGGTTTTCCGGGAGTCCTACACACGCCCTGCGTTTCCCCAACGGAGGGTATAGCGCGAAAAGCATTCCTTGCGTTAAAAAAAAAAGTTTACTATATTAGTTACTAAGCTACTAAGTTATATAAGTTAAGCTTTACTAATAAAGGCATACTATATCACTTTCATCAACAGCCCCTAACAGTCCACTGCTAGACATAGGCCTCTTAGAAAAGAGGTTTTGGCGTACTATACCACGCTGGCCAGACGGGTCGGTTTAGGGACGTTAGGCTTCAGGATAAGTATGAATATCAACCAACAATATGTATATTTAAAACGTAAACCATTAAGTAATTATTCAGTTCTATCACAAATTA